ACATTGAACATTTAGCCTAGACAAGATTTACTGATTGAATAAAAATGATGTACATGTTATATAATTATGTACAAGTTTGTTACTAAATAAATGTTAAGTATATAATATAATATATATTATAATATATATATAATATATATAATATAAGTTAATATGTATATATATTGAATACTAATATCTACAAATTTTAAAAATATATAAAATCTTGGAGAAAAGTTTGACTTTCGTATTTATTTCTAGTAGGAAATATAAAAATATAACAAATATTGTTGCTAAATTAGTTCTTAAATAATTTTTTAAAAAATCTTACATAAAATGTAAGATTTACAAAAATGTTTACATATATTATTTTACAATAAATATATATATAAACGCTGCTTGAGATGAAAAAATAAAGTATTCTTATCAAAAGATATCCAGCTAATGGTATCATTTAATATCATTTAATTTTCTCAAAGCGTGAATTGATAGAAGATTCTTTTAAGTATATATTTTCTACACGTTTTAACAGCAGAGATGCATTGAATATGCATTTTATTGGGAGAAATATTTGGTTTCAGAAAGCAAGGTCAACAATATTAATATATTGATAATATGTTTCTGTGAATTTTTGGTTATATCAAATAGCGCAAGGATTTAACAAAGATGGACATCACGACATATTTAACAAAATATATATAAATTTATTCTGGTAATAACATGTATATAGGGTATGTTTGTAGATGAATACAAATCGTTCGAAGTGCAAGTAATTAACATGGAATCTCGAAATGTTATCTCACAGAAATACGAAACTCGCGTATTTAAATATCATCTCGTTATGTTATTTATAAGAGGATACTTTACGGTATTTATATACGAACAAATATAAAAATATTAAATGCTGTGCTAGAGAAATAGTATTCGCATTTTCGTATTTTATGTATTTCATACCATCATGCACATAAACTTGCGTTATAATTAAAGTAATGGATTATCTTTAGCGTCATAAGTAAATTTATTTTAGCATTTGTTTAATATTTATTACTATTTGGAGAAAAGTAATAATTTTCATGAGTAACTCAGAATTGCATTTGGAAGTGTAATTCACGAAAAACTAAGAGTTTATTTTGTTAACAATCACTGTTGACCTAAATTGTCGCAGAGAAACTGTTAGACTAACGAAAAGCAAAATAGCACACAAAGATATAAAGATATTTGGTTGTCTTTAAAGAGATGTATTTATTATTGTCTTTATTATTGTAGCTCAAGTGACGAATGCAAAGCAAGAAAGATTGACGTGTGTGTATAATTCGGCTACTTACTAGAGGTAGGAGTATTATCTTATCGAACACGAAATTGTTTCAACGAAGCTTTGTTTACTGACAAAGAGATTTCAAACAAAAATCTAAGAGCGAGTGATTGTGAGAGAAAAGAATATTTATGTCGGAACAATTGCAAGTATAATGTAACAGATAATAAATAAAGACTCGAATATTACGGTAGTAATTTTACGAGATGGAAAATCCTGATATATAATTAAATATTAATCGACATCTACATTTGCATATTAATATTTCTCTTACACATAATATAGTACAAAGGAAAGGAGTTCCAGTAGAAAGAAAGAAATGTGTATCACAATATGTACATAGTAATAAGATTTGTATTTGTTATTTTATACAACTGCGAGGTACAGAATTTACATAGCCAGATTTAAAATTTGCAAGACGACACAAGTTCTTTTAGAAAAAATGCCATTGATCTGGTGATAAAAAGGGGTTCCAAGTTTCATGATAATGTTAGTATCGAGTATCAGGAATTTTGATGCCCAACATCTCCTCTATCACTTGTATGATGCGTGCAACATCGATGCATTGCTCCTTAGCTTTGTTTACGAGGTCCTTGACAGCTTGCAATTTAAAGACATCGTTGACGATCTGTTGGAATTCGTCAGATTTGAGTTCGTTTATTAACTTTTTCCAAGATTCGGAATTTTTCATTTTTTCGTCGTAGAGGGCCTTCATTTTATCGAAGGGAATCAAGGCTTCGGCTTCGTCGAGGAATTTACGGATTCCGTTGTTCTCGCAATCTTTGGCGTAAAACTGGGCTTTCGTGGGCGGCTCAATGTGAGGCAGGTGGAGCATATCGTTCATTTTGTTTATATATGTGTAGATGTCAACGCCCATGCTATGTACTTTGAATATCAATTCGAGAACTTTCGGCATGTCTTCGACGTTCTTCACGAGACCTCTGAATTCTTCGCTTTGGAAGTATGCGATCATGCCTTGGAAGTCCTTGTCCTCGGACATATATTTAATAGCGAGTGCTATTAACTTGTCTTGTGGTATGAGTGCCAAAAAGTCCCGGAAATCTTCGGTCAGATCCTGAACTCCCGGACTATGGACATGGACGTTGGCGGAGGTCGCCGTAGCCACGAGGGCCAACAGTGCCAGTGCGATTTTCATCTGTGAAAATAAACATTTCGCTTGGTTCATTGGGATACAATTAATGACGTAATGTTTTATGATGCCGTTATTTACGCGACCTACAGAGGTCTTGTGATCAACAGGCTACTCACGAAATAGTACATCAAACTGTTTTCATTGATCGAGCTGGATTTTCGCGACTACTACGTTCTTAAAAGTAAATATTTAGTAGTACACTCGTAATGCAAGCATCGGCAGATGTTGGTTCACCAATTTCGCGTGATTTTTCATGAAACGTTGAATATTACTTGATTTTTATTATATACCGTTGATTGAAATATATCGCAACGTGTTGATCAATTTGAAATACAAACAGGTTGTTGTTTTAATTGATCGAATAATCGCTGAAGCGAGCATCGAAAATCTGCCGTTTGACGAGAATAAACACGCAAATTGAACAATAAATGTATTTTTTTTTTAACACACAGAATACTTCAGTTCAAATAGATTAAATGAGGCTGTAAAACAGTGAAATAATTATTGACTTCAAAATAACAATTAATATTTGGATGACATAAAGCAATAATGATACAAAGCAATAATTTTTCTGATAAAATATTTCTGTGCAAATGTTTAATTACTTTTTACAACTTTTATCCCTTAAACGTTTAATTCAGTTCATAGTTATTACAAAAGAGAATATTTTTTGGCAATGTAAAGCAAGAGAATTTCATTTCTCGCTAAAATAGGTGAGAGATGAATTCTTTATATAATATTGCTCATTTGCTGTTACTTATTATATATAATCTCTAAAATTTTAGCAACTCTCTTTAGGGCCTGCTCATCAGAGCCTGTCGTATTACTCACCTTTGAAGTGGTGCTTGCTTGGTCGTCGTATTACTCCAGAGGAGGTACTGATGCTTCGAAGCTCCTTTCTTTGGCTTATATATACTCAAAATTAACCGTTGTTTGTTTCATTTGTGGTGATAAGATTATGTAGATAATACATGTAGTGCGCGATTGGCTGTTAAAATGCGAGGATTAGTATTGAAGTTATGTAAAGAATCGCAGGAAAAAGTCCATTCAGTCCATGTTTCTGCGTTTCAAATTAATCCATAGGTATTCGGCGATTATTGATAAGAGCACGTGCGAATTAATTATTGTGCAAATGATATTAAAAGCACTTGGCGAATCTCGACGTTTCAGGAGATCGCGATTAATGTTCACAGTGCAATTCATCAAAGGTAAATCGCGGTAAAATGTTCGGTAGTTTCGATATCGCTCTACTCTTATTGATTTGCGCAGTATTTCATCGAAAATGTCATGAATTAAAATGATAAAAAAGATATTCGTAGAATGAGTAATAACTCACGATATCAAATTGATACAAGTGTTCTAACAACTATCGATCAGCGATAATCTAAAACTATTTTCAACGATGCACTAATGCTTGCAATGCACTAAAAGTGCCGAAAATTTGCTTCTTTAGATCGTAGCACTAAAGAATATAATATTAGGACGTGATACTTGTAATTCATAACATGCATAATATACATGATCGTAGAAAAAATGTATCTATTTCAATCTAAATATTTCCGCAGTATTTCTGTATGTGTATTTATATAGGGTGTCCCAGACTTGTTGTGCAATATTTATGGGAACATAGAACGGATTGAGGTGGACATAAAAGTCTCATACCGTTTTGCGATATTCACAATAAATCTCGAGATATTAATTAAAGAAAATTGATATCATGAATTAAAAAAAATTATCAGGCGCGATATGATAGATGAGCTATAGTAGTGATATGTGCTGTCGTGTATTTGTACATTAAGTTAAACTGAACAGAAAAGTCTTGTACCATTTTACAAATGACTATATAGATTTTTAGATATTAATTAAAGAAGATTTGTGCATTACCGTGTACAATCACATAACAATTTTCTTTCATTAATAACTAAAGATGCGTGATTATTAGCAAACTGATCAAAGATTTTTTATTCAATTTGATCTTAATCTAAAAGCATACAACATCTAATAACATAATATACAAGCGCATGATAGCATATATCGCTACTAGTTTATCTATCATATCGCGCATGATCGCGATATGATCACTAATTTTCTTTAATCAATATCTCGAGATTTATTGTGAATATTGTGAAAACGGTATGGGACTTTTATATCCATCTCAATCCGTTCTATGTTCTCACAAAAATTGCGGAGGAAAAAGTTTGGGACATTTTATATATATATATATATATATATATATATATATATATATATATATATATTTGTTTTATATTTTTCTTAGCATACTCACTGAGAGAGAAAAAGATGTTTAATTTATTTGCAACTGTAATTAGATAGTGAAAGAATTGTAGTCAGCAGAATCACTTTTGTTACTACTTATATGCATATTGCTAATACTATATTTTTTTTAACAATATTTTTTCAACTATATTTTTTTAACAATAAGAGAATATAGTTGGTGCTTAAATATAATTTTAGTAATATTTATTATATTGTTCTCTGAGTGGTCGTTACTATTAGAAAAAGAACTTTCGTGAAAAAAAGATTTGTTTCATTAAAGAAGTACAAGGCATACAGTTATGCCTGAAACATTCAAGATTATTTTTTAGATATTCGTCCATGAAATCCTGCTAGGGTAGTAGTCAATGTTTCAAGTCTGCCTTGTGTGCTTGAACCCACATGAAGTCGATCCAAAGTTGGCAGTTTCAAATTGCAGTATCATATCCACGTTATAATCTCAGATTATAACATCCTCTAATACATCAACTTGGAAAAGTCTCATTTCTCGCGGGCAAGTAGCTTCCGAAGATGGATCGGCTCCGAGCCCGTTGAACGAACTGAGCTCGTGCATCGCCGCTGCATCTTCGTTAGTGCGCCGAAAGTTTGACCGATCATAAGAGAAGGCGGCCCATGCGCGCCGTGTGCTGCGAATGACTCCGAATGCTCGTACCTCTTCGATAAATAAAGAGAGACGACGATGTTGGTCGTGCAGATGACGCTAACTTTTAAAAGGAAAGTAAAAGGTGTGCTTGGCTCGGCAGCCTTCCGAGTCGGAACCGGAAAGAACACCTTCGACTGCAGAATGGCTAGGTAGATACGTACGAACGAAGCAAAGCAAAGTCGAACGGAAACGGAGTTGAAGGTGTAGGAACTGGAGGGAGAAAGAAGTGGAAAAAGAGAGAAAGAGAAAGAGATATATATAGAGAGAGGGAGTACGGTGCTTCTCTAATTAAAATTGTTACAATTTAATAAGCCTCGGAACTCACCATTGGCGCGTCGTAATGGGAAGTCGTGAGAAGAATAAGTGAGACAGAGAGTGAAACGAGCGAGAGTCTTCCAGAAGGGGAATAAAGGGAGACCGGACGCTTAAACGAGCGTCTGAGGGGCGACGGAGGAAGAAGAGGAGAAGGAGGAAGAGGAGGAGGAGGTTGTACGAGGGTGAGAGAGAGAGAGAGGAAGAGAGAGAGAGAGAGAGAGAGAGAGAGAGAGGAAGAATGAGAAAAACGGATGAAAGAGAAAGAGGGTATAGAGAAGAAATCGTCTTCGCGATCTCTTAACTTTTCCACTCAATATGGAGCGCGACTTGTATTCTTTTTTTGCGCGCCGCTCTTTAGAATATAGTTCTCGCGAAAGGTTTAACACAATTTCACGCTACTCCCTTCACTTCTCTGCCATGGATTCTGCTCGTTATGCGTGTTGGACACAAACTCTTACTCGCGAAGGACACGAGGAATGACGATGAAGAGAAAGATTGAGGAGAGAGAAAAGGCACACACTCTTGTACTTGCGATACAAATTCTGTATGCGTTACATTGTGTCTCTGCGCTACATCGCACCGAAATTATAATGAAAAATATCCGTTACAATTTTTAAACTATATCCTGCAATATAGATGGAAATTTCCCGAATCACCTGTGAATCACAATTTAATCTGATATATCATGCCAGGTGTGTTTTTATCTTTGCGATTTATCCTTGAAGTACTTATTAATGCATAAAATAAAATGTGAGATATGGCAACTGCGATTATCGATTTGTTTGCCGGTAAACAGGCGCAGTTTGTACAGCGAGCGTACGTGCATACACGTACCATTCTCTAGATGGAGAATTACATGATTTTCAAACTAACAAATATGCATAAAGTCGAGACCATTATAATTAACATGTTAGCTACTAGCATCGTATATGTATCACGATTTTTCACTTCAAACTTATTTTTACGCAAAATTTTCAATTTTTTTTAATATGCGTATGTGTGTGTGTGTTCGCTACTAACGTTACATGTGTATGACAACGACTATTCTTCTATCTGACTACGTATAAACATATCAAGTTTATTTTATGCAGTTACATAAAAGCGAATCTAATGGTGGTCTGTGGAGAGAATTCCGCGAATAAACCATAGTGGCGCAAACGTGTTAAAGCCATTACAGTTATCCTACTGTTATAACTAGAATTATTTATGCTATTCTTTTCAACCTTATACGTTATAAGTAAGATTGAAGATTGTGCAATCTCGGTCTAGAAAATGATATAGCATATATGACACTGATTCCGTATTTATGCATAAATGCTCGTTTTTCTTGAATTATCATGTAACTCTTAATCCCTTATCGTCCCTTAGCCCGTTGTCATTGGATGGGAGAAAGAAAGAAACAAAATAGTCTTCTTCGCGAAATAATCGACCAATTATTCCATCTGGCTTGCACATATTTTCATGGTTTTTAGGCGCTCAAATAGATATTTCGTTCAATTACGAGCAATTAATAACGAAAAATTGAGCCTCTGCAGTTTATTGGCGCTAACTAAAATTACATCGGTAATATAAAAACCAGCTTTTTCGCTAAGTGAAGATTTTATTTACTTCAAGTTCAAAGTGGAGGAAGAGGAAAAGACCGGGGGAAACTTCGCGGCCTTCTGTATCGCGTGCTGCACTACGTTTAATTGGCAGCGGCGGTAACATCGGCTTCATAATTGTACTTCGGAAGATCCCCGTTTCCTCCGAAGTTCCACCTGCGCACGGGGTTGCAACGGCGAGTCATATCAAATTATTTTCTCCTACTGGCCAGGAAACTTTTGCCCGATATTATGGCGGCATGTGGCGGTAACAGCCTGCCGTGCCGGTCCTATCGTTACCAACGTAACGGCCTCGAGGATTTTCACGGCGAAACAAGAAGAACCAACTAAGAAAATGTGTTCGGAATTGCATTAAGGCGGCTCGCCGCCGGGCAAAATCCCACGAGTAATTTCAATACCCCGACCGCGCGCGCGCGCGCGCACGCGTTGCTGTATCAGTACGCAATAACAATATGAGTGAGACATAAAGTGTATGTGCACGTATGTGGCTGTATCTTGCATTTCAACAGAATTGGGAGATGCTGCGTGAAATAGATGTAACAGTGTTTTACAGCCGCATAATTACTTTTCCAAGTGATTATACAAATACCAAACATTTTTTACTTAGTATAGTATACAGAGAGAATATCTCTCCTATAGTTTTTGTTTTCATATCAATTCTTTTCAATTTTACTACATTTCGAATAATTTTACTGTATTTTACTAATATTTTACTATGTTTCTAATATGTTTTTAATAGTCTTAACAAGAATGAACTATCAGTAAGATCTATCTCGCTAGAAACATAATGAATTTCGCTAGGGATATGGCAAGTTTTTTAAATAGTATATTTTAGTTTTCAAAATATAAATAGCACATATGAAATAAAAAAGTTACTGCAGAATACTGACCCATTCCTCGATTACAAAATTCTATAGCAATTTTCACTGTAATTTTCTCTTTGCGTACATTCATATTAATATTTAATAATGAATTTAGTAACATAAAGGGCTGGAAAGATTGAACGTGCGATTGCGTTCGCTAATTAGAGGTTCGACGATATCTGCGAACGATATCTCCACGAACAGGTGAGATCTACTTGAGAACGAGGGGCAAATTTCACCGTAGATATCGTCGCACATTATCACTATACATCGATA